ATTGGGACCGGTGGGTCAGTGTGTGTGTGTCAGCCTATCGGTTCTCACAGCACACCACGACAGGATATTCGCCGTTCGAGTTGGTTTATGGTGTTTACCCGCGTGTGCCCGTTGTGAGTGAGATCATTGATGACGCAGATAAGCTGCAGTGTGACACTTACGCGAATTATGTGAGTGACCTGAAGCGCCGTCTCGAGGTGGACCGCGACCAGGCCCATCAGTCACTGCAGGACAGCCAGTCGCGCTCGTCTGTGGCTGGAACGAGTGACATTGAAGTAGGCGATACGGTGATGCTAAAAGTGCAGGCAGTGAAGCGTGGTAAGAGCAGGAAACTGTCCGCTCGTTTTACTGGACCATATGTAGTCGTCAAAGTGCAGCGACCTGATTATAGGATTAAGCGGGGACGAAAGCAGGTGCTTGTGCATGGTAGTAACCTGAAGAAAGTAGAAAGTTCTGTGCGGGACGATTCAGAACGGGCGACATGTGTGACGGTTCCTGTCACTGTCAGTGTGTCTGACGAGGAACCGGACCTCGGTGCCTGTATTCCGCTGTTAGGTCGGACCGCTGTCGGGCCATTGCTGGCGGTCCGCTCCGATGAAGTTTCCGGTCGTGTGGAGTCGCCGAGTAGCGCTGAAAGTGAATGTGCTCTGTCGGACTCGGATAGTTCAGATTCGGAGCCGGACGGAACCCCCGTCCGTCCGCCAACTGCTGTTAGCCGCTATGGCCGCCCAGTGCGACGCCCGCAACCGTATTCGCCAGGTTAGGCCCTCGGGTGTGCATCTGTGACCTAGGTGTCCGTACTTTTTGAAGGGGAGGATGTTGTGGATCAGCTGCCGCTGTTGACGATCGGCCGTCGCGCGCCGATCCGGTGACCCAGTTTTGTCGATCAGCTGATCGTAATTTGTCGGCCGGCCGCCAGAGGCGCTGTTTGTCCTTCTCGCGACGGACCTGTGTGGCGGCGGGCGGCCGGCTTGTGTGGCCGAGAGTTTTGAGCATTAGTAAGCGGTTACAGTGCTACCTTCGTGTTTTAATTAAGTTCAATAAAGTTCAAGTAATCGTAACACTATCTTGCTTCGTTCTCGAGATCTCAGGGGGGGGCCGAATCGGCCCCCCCCCCGCCAGTTTCTTGTCCCGCCGGAGCCCGCCAGGAATAGGGTTAAGTGGCCTATATAGGCTTGCTCTATCGTCTAGATGAAAGTGGGCCCCTCGTGCATGGAGACTAACTGAACCATACTGATTGCTGATACGAGTCTATGCAAGAGAGACCTCTTTTTATCCAGATGATAGGGCAAGCCTTCATATAGCCTTGGCATAAGCTACTGAAGCCCCAAGCATCATAAATAGCCAAAAGAGCATGGTTTATGCCACATTCTCAGGATTAGGAGTCCATCCCAAAAAGGCATCACTTAAAACATTGGGTGGCTTACTGAAGCAAAGTTATTGAGTGGTCCAGTCCCTATGACCCCCCCCCCCCCCCCCCCCCCATTGGCAGAGCCCCTGTAAAAGTGAAATTGTCAAAATAAATTTTGCATGAGTTTGAGCCATGCATGACTTGAAAGTTATTCCCAACTTGTTATTTATCATTCAAGTTATTTTAAAGATTCCCACCTCCATTGTCCAGTCAAATTCAGTCAACCAATGGAAATCCAGGCTGAGACTGCCATCACTTACACTGGCATGTGTCCTGCCACTCCTGCCACAATGTAGTCCATAACAATTAACATATGCTTATCACTCCAAAAGAGAGCTAGAGCCTTACAGCTGTCAGAGCCTTACCCCATATTGCCCACAGATAGACCAAGTCTGGCATCTAAAGCTGGTAGACAGATTTGGCCCAGGGCCCAGAGTTATGGAACTTCATTCAGTCAGCTGAACAGTGAATACCTCAACCTGAAATACAGTCTTTTCGCTTGGAACTTCAACATGACAACCCTTGTGCATTTGGTGAATGATGGAGCAAGTTTTTTCAGCTTGAATGAAGTTTAGTACCTACTAGAAGGAACAGTTTGTTTCATTGTCTTGGTCCCAAATCCCAAACCCTGCAGCTTCTAAACAGTGGCGATTTGATTCAACTTCATCCCTCCAGTTACCTGGTGGTGGCAGATGATCCTTCCCTGGTTCCATAGTTTAATGCTTGCTTTCCGGTTTCCTTTTCCAGACTGTGGAGTCACATATTTAAAAAAAAGAATGGCGACAGTGCTGATCCAGGGTGCCTCGCGCGGTCTGGGGCTCCAGTTTGCTCGTGCGTTGGCCGCGCGGGACTCTGTGACCACTGTGCTGGCCACGTGCCGGCGCCCGGAGCAGGCTGAGGAGCTGCGCTCGCTGCCCAAGGTGCAGGTGCTGCCGCTGGACGTCACCAGTGAGACGAGCGTGGCGGCGGCGGCCCAGCAGGCGGCGGCGGCCACTGCCGGACTCGACCTGCTCGTCAACTGCAGCGCCATTCTGCACCCCAGCGGCCGCGGCGAGACCAGTCTGCGGGACGTGAGTCTGGCCGGCCTGCAGGAGACGTTCAACACCAACACGTTCGGCCCGCTACTGGTGGCCAAACACTTTGCGCCGCTGCTGCAGGCGGGTTCAGGCGCGCTGGGAGTCCAGTCGGAGGACGCCAAGCAGCGGCACGCCGCCGTGCTAGTCAACATGACGGCAAAGGTCGGCTCCACGACCGGTGAGAAGCCACTCGCCGTCGCCCGCACAGCTGGGGTCTGCGCGTGCATCGGACATGTGGACCGTGTGTCTTAATATTTTCATGAGATTCAACTGTCGGTCCGCCCTTGTGGACCGGCAGCGCGTATGTAAAGGCCGCCCCACACTGGACCTCGCATGCGGGTTGCGAGTTTTTGGGTTTTCGGGTTTCTTCAAAATAAAACAATACAATCTAGGCCGAGTGACCCACACTACCATCTAACAAGCGAGTCTGCATGTTTTTAGCTCGCGAGCGACCTTGCATTGCATTCCAAAAGTTGATTTTGAGTCAACTTTCGATTTTCCTCGCTGCGAGGTCTGCGAGTTCTGCGAGGTTTGCGGGTTTTTCGTTGGAGCCGAATTTTGGTTCGTTGCGCTGGTATTGCGACTATATGTAAGTTTCTGAAGGTGTACCGGCTTCACTGCATTCATGAAGTTACCATAAGGAAACGGTCTAATCACTCTATGAATTAGTATTATGCCCGCAAACTCAAAACCCGCAAACCCGCAACCCGCATGCGAGTTCCAGTGTGGGGCGGCCTTAAGATACAGAAACAGGAGAGAGGGAGTCGAGACGGGCACCACGGGTCACCCCGTCTGCATTGTCCGTCGTGCTTCTGCTCCTGCCCTGTCGACCAGCGTGTCACTGTGGGAGTGGTTAAATGCTGACATTTGTTGACATGCTGGCCCATACTGTGACCTGAATTACCGTAGTTGCATTATTTCTTTCTAGAAAACGTTCTCGGTGGCTGGTACAGCTATCGCATGTCTAAGGCTGCCCTCAACATGGCGACCAAGAACCTCAGCATCGAACTGGGACGGGGACGGAAGAAGGTGCTGTGTGTCGGTCTCCATCCTGGTAAGCCCTTCACTCGCTGTCAGAAGAAAAAATGTTTCACACTGTGTGATACATGCCAATACTTTCACGAAGCTACCACAGTCTTGTCATAGCTACAGTATGCAGCGCCTGTAATCGATATACCGAGGAAAAATACATACACGAGTTAGCACGCATCCGAAGGCAGATTCTTGACGGGTTCGCATGAGTTTTACTGAAACGCGCCTCGCGTGGGTCATCTGTGCAGCTGTTAACATTCGTTTCTCCCACCAGGCACGGTGGATACGGACCTGTCTCGGCCCTACCACAAGAACGTGCCGGCCGGCCAGCTGCTGTCGCCGGAGCGGTCCGTGTCCCACCTGCTGGCCATCGTGGACCGGCTGACGGTGGCAGACTCCGGCCGGGTGTTCGTCTGGAGTGGGGAGCCGCTGGCATTCTAAGCACGCTGAGCGAATGACGGCGACACTTTTCGGGCCGGACGCTGCTGTGTGTGCTGTTTGATGTGCTGCGTTCATGGACGTAGATGAAGCATGTGAGTGGATGAACGCTAGCGAGCCGTGCAATACAGTGATGTGTAGGGAAGATACAGACTAAAAGAAGCTGCTTTTTTTGCGCAGGAAAACACATAAACTTGTAGCATCGATCAATGTGCCGCGAAGATAGCTCCAACAATGCAATGACGAGTTATTCCTCGTCTCGTCACTTGTTTGATTTACCGTTATTTCGTATTGGATTTTTATATCTATTTTATTTCTCATATACACGTATTCTATTCACTGATGCGAATGTTGCTTTTGTGACTTGCAAAATGCCATATCTCTGTGCATCTTCATCGACCATACGTTGTACAACTGGCTGTCAAGATGGACTCGTACGCAATATTGAAACTACTGTGTAGTGCTCCATGGTTGCTGTGTAAAATAGCAAAGACTATTAATCACTTCCGAGTTTGCTGAGATGAGTCGCCAACACTTTAAACACCAACTGTTCTAAAACTGCCGGTGATTTCGAAAATCGAAGCACACATGTACTAATGTGCTACAAACGTCGTGACTGAACAGCTCCCAGCCCATGAGCTAAATACAAACATCGTGACCTAGAACAGCTCCCAGCTCAGGCGATAGTGCTAACGCCGATCGTGGTCCCGCTGACGCGTCTTTCACAGCGTCACGGCGTCTCTGACAATGATCCCAACGGGATATCGCTCTGATCTTTTTTTTAATGTTACAGCTTATTGACACCTGTTGCCCATTGACAATTCGTCTCTTGGCTCCTATTTCAATTCAAGTCACATGCGCGTTCCTGAAGGCTCAACCAGACCCATTTGCTGCCTTCCCGTCACTAGCGCGTCATGCACTGAACCAGATTGAACAATGCGTGTATTGGTTGGTCACCGGAGCAGGTGTCTACGGTGATTCCGTGATTGCACTTGATCCCATCCGTTTCAGCGTAAGATATGTGCGGAGACGCGGAACAGTGATTGTCAAATGGCGAGTATTGTATAGCTTTTCCAAATGTTCGCAAGTGATTTGTTCAACTTGTGTCATGACATTCGGCACTTATACATTCAAGTGAAATTGGTGCTTGAGGGCAGAGGGCAACACCATCCTTTCAACCTAACATCCGAATTCCAAGGCTTTTCCAGCCCTCGGTCTACACACACTGACTCAGACATAACACTTCCACTTAAATTAGGAGTTAAAACATTGCGCATTAAATACAAAACAGAGCTGAGCAGCGTAGGAAAGACAGTGGTGTGTGCGAGCAGGTCCGGTGTGGCCGGGGGTGGTCTCACCAGAGCCGGGCGGCGCCGTCGCAGGTCTCCCAGGCAGTCACCAGCGCCGAGTACCGCTGGTAGTCGGCGGCGGCCGCGCCCAGGCCGCCCAGCTCTGGCTGCGTCTCGGCGGCCGCGCCGGCCCAGGCCGAGCCGTGCAACACGTCCAGCAGGGCGGCCAGCCGGCGCTGCGTGTCCGCGTCTCGCTGCAGCAGCAGCGGCCGCAGCCCGACCGGCAGCAGCTCGGCCAGCCGGCCCAGCTCGGCGCTCAGTTTCGGCGGCCGCGTCCGGTACCGGCTTCGCACCGCGGCGCGCACCTGGCGGTACACTGAGGCACGCGCGATTACCACCAGCGGCGGCGGCTGCAGCAGCGCGGCCGACAGACCAAGCCAGGCGCCCAGCGGCCGGCGCACCCGTGTGGCCGACGCCTGCATGGCCAGCTCGAGCACGAGCCGAGCGCGCGCCCGCCGGCGCGCCGCCTCCCCGTCCGGGAGCGACGCCGCGCCGGCCGCCGACTCGCCGTCGTCGAAAGTCCAACGCACAAAGTCCTCGATGGGCACCTCTGCGAAGGCACGCGCCACGATAAAGGCCTGCACGACGGCGCCGACGATACTCCGCAGCCGGCCGCAGACTGAGAACAGCCGGCCCCAGTCGGTCGGGTCACACTCCAGCTGACTGTGCAGATGGCACAGCAGACCCCAGACGCGGCGCGCGCAGAGCAGTGAAGCCCGCCCGTCCACCAGGCCGGGAGGCGTCACCTGCACGTGGTCGATGGCGCTGGAAACGAATGAGTCCGGCTCGGCCAGCGCCGCGCGCCCACACTCGTCGTCGTCCAGCAGTCGCAGCGCCAGCAACGTATCACGGCGCGAGTAGTTGTGCACCAGCAGCGGCCCGAGCACGCTCGGGCAGGAGCAGGACTCCTTGTCCGTGCGCCGCGATACGAACTCCAGCTCGTCGTGCGTCAGGCCGTGACGGAGCAGCGCCTCGACAAAGCCGAGGCCGGCGGCGAACACTGCGTTCCAGAGGAACTCCTGCTGCGTGCGGCGCAGCGTCTCCATTCCGACTGCAGCCAGCAGCAGCTCGAAGATGACGGCGTCGTCGCGCTGCGCCGCGTGCAGCAGCAGGGAGCGCAGCGGCGCCGGCGACAGGTCCGCGCCGCGCTCCAGTAGCGCCGTCACAATGCTCGTCTTGGCGGCGGCCGGGTGGTCGCCCATCACGGCATGCAGCGCCGTCCGGCCGGCCACGTCCCGCATGTTGACGACCTGCGGCGTCAGGCCGTGCCGGCAGAACAGAGCGACGACGTCGGAGCGCTGCAGCTGGGCCGCCAGGTGCAGCGGCGTGGCGCCAGACTCGTCGGCGCAGCTCAGCGCGGCGCCGGCCTCCAGCAGCCGCTCCAGCATCGGCAGGCCGGCGCCGCTCTCCACGGCGGCGCCCAGCAGCGGCAGCGCCGCCTCGCCCGCCTCCAGCGGCGGCACCAGCCGGCCGGGCGCGCCCAGCGTCTCCAGCTGCTCGGCTCCGTACTCGAGCAGCGCCTCCACCAGCGGCAGCAGGCCCGTGCTGACGGCCGCGTGCAGCGCCGACCAGCCCGACAGCGAGCGCAGTGTCGGGTCGGCGCCGGCCGTCATCAGCAGGCGCACGCACGGCAGCGACGGCGAGCCGGCGGCCAGCATCAGCGCCGTCACGCCGTCGTAAGTGGCCACGTCGACGTCGATGGAGAGCGTGTCGGCGGCGGCGGACATGGCGTCCAGCACCAGCCGCAGACAGGCGGCGTTGCCGCGACACGCCGCCACGTGCACCGGGAACCAGCCCTGGTTGTCGTGAGCGTCCACTCCGTGGCCATCAGCCAGTAGAGAGCGGAGTTTACCAGCATCATCAGACCTGTCGGGATCCATTAAAGTGGGCAGGCTGAGTAATGTTTCGATACCAAAAGCTTAGCTTCATGCTTCACATTTTCACAACTGTGCAGATATCAAATGTGATGAACATAGACAGAAGTCAAATCCTAAGAATGTTTGATACTGCAAGCACAGCCACATTGGAAGCAACATTGTTTTGTGTTCAAGTGGCAGTTAAGAGAACCTAGAAAAATGTTATGTGATTTCCTATACCAGAAACCCACAAGATATGATTTTAATACTGGCAATCATCTACCTGCCCTTATCAATACTGTGGTGCTTACCAGCATGCTTGGGCAACAGATGTTATTGTTTCGGGGTAGCGCCCTTCAAAATTCATACTCCTGCGACAATCAATGTCTGAAAATAGGAAGGCTGTCAATTTCTCTTGGTCCAGTGGAGCTGGGCTGGGGCATATTTCTTTTAGGTCAGTGAAACTAAACAATGCCTACACTATCCTATCACATCTTCACCTTTCTCAATACCGGAGAGTAGCTGCAGCCTGCGACCATGCAACAATGTCTGATCTTGTACAATATTAATAACCAGTCTTAACCCGGCAGGCGGTGGGCCTCCCGGCCACCTTCCGCGCGGTGGGGGGGGGCATTCCCCCCCCCCCGTATCTCCGAAACTACGGGACGGATCCGGAAAATTCAAACGGCGTTCAATAGCCCTGTCAAATTTGTCGAGGGAACCCAAATTTCATTGACCTCGGGGTCACCGATGACGTCACAGGTCAGGTCAAAGATAAAATGTTTCACCGTTCACGAGGCTTCTAGGGAAAGCGCTATAACACCGAGTAAAACGCATTTTGTCGAAAATCAGCGATAAGGCGTCAGTTGTCTAGTACACATGTTGCTATTAGAGGTCACTGGTCATACCAGGTCAGGTCACAGGTCAGGTCACCAAAGGTCACCAAGGGTCACCACATGAACCCAACTTTACTAAGGTTGTGCGATGCATGTTTATGGCCAGTTTTTCATTTCCAACTCAATGGTGTTGGTTATAAGACCATTAGGTACGGCTTAGGTCACATTCTGGTGGAGGTCAGGTCAAGGTCCTCCCCGTCCTCCCCGTGGCCTAGTGGATAAGGCGTCCGTCTCCTAACTCGGTGGCAGCGAGTTCGCGGCCGGGAAGCTCCACGCCGTTTGACCCGCGTTCCTATAGCGTTCCTATCTCGCCAGCTGGCAACTGGCGAGACAGGGCCACGCTAGACCCGGGAGGACCGTGCCGCCATCTACCTGCGGCACGCTAAACTTTCGATCCAAATTACCACCGGTGAACCGGGCGCGGGCAAGGCGGGGTGGTGGGTCCGTGGTGTCATTCGCAACAAGCACTGCTTAGCGGGGCACCCGGGCCCATAGCCACCCATTCATCCATTCGAACAAAATTTCTTTAAAAAAAGGTCAGGTCAAAAAAGGTCAAATTTCAAAGCTGATATTTTTGCATAAAATGGGTATTGATTCGATGCAGCTCGTCACGGGGAGTCTAATGGTGGTCTTTGTTTTGCGCTGCGAGGTCTAGAATTGCTAAAAATTGAGTTTGAAAATTTGACGTCATCAATTTTGAACAGTTTTTTCGCTGTAACTTGGCCAAAAAAAGAGGTATCGATCTCAAATTTGGTATATAGATAGAAGGCGCTAGGGACTATTACATATCTTCCGGTTTTTTTTTTTGAAATTCAAAAAACTTTTTGGATTTTTCGGCTATTATATTCAAAAATCTTTTTTATTTTTGGTTGTCAAAATCCAAAAATTTCAAAAATCCGAGATAGCAGTTTTGTAGCCCTCTAAATTCTACACCTTTTATGTCAAAAACTTTTTTTTGTATCTTAAAGCTGCAGGCCTGACACTATATATGGCCTTGGGCCTGACAGCTCTTCTCGGGAAACCTTTTTTTGGGTCAAAATGGCAGAAATGACGTCACTCTGACGTCATTAGCGTCCAACCTATCATAGCCTTTGGAAAATTTTTGGTCACAATTTGCAATAGCTACTCACGGGAGGGTACTAAAAGTTTGGTGCCGATCGGCGCAGCGGTTCTAGAGATATATCGAAAAAACTAAAGGGGGGGGAATGCCGCCTGGAAGGTTAAGTGTTTTTTGTACAATAAACAAATGGCTGTATATGGCTTTGGTACACACAAATGATTAGTTGGTTCGGGTTAAGCAGTAAGCACCATATCCGGTCGACCGTGGTTGAGGTGCTAACAACTCTGATGATATTCCAAGCTTCTATAGTATAGAAGCTTGGATACCTATGTCTTGGTCTATATACCTACCCTGATTCCAAGCGGTCAGGCAGCGACAATGCCACGTGCGAATTGCCCGGGAATCGAACCCAGTGGCTGAATCTAGAGGCAAGAAAATTACCCCTAGACCAGATTCAGAATGCGCCCCATTGGAAAGAACTTACTTACTTACTTAGAAGTACAGAATTTAGATAGGCTACTTGGCCTTTATGTCCGTTCCAGTCGAGCTACTTGGTGTGAGTTTTACTAGTCTGTGTATGGTATCGTGTATACGAGGTTTGCCCACTGGGTGTCTAAGCAGTTCTTGAACTGGTTGAGTGTAGAGGCGTCGACGACTTCCGATGGCAGGCCGTTCCAGTCGTTGATAACCCTGACGGAGAAGGCGTTGCGTCGGACTCTGGTGACCGCACGCGGCTTCACCAGGCACCACGAGTGGCCTCTGGTTTCACGGGCGGTCGAGCGGTCGAAGAAGTCGTGCGATTCCAGGTCGATACCACCATGAAGCATCTGGTACACCGCTATCATGTCACCGCGCCTCCAACGGTAGTACAGGGATGGCATCTTCAGCGCCTGCAGTCTCTCAGTGTAGGGCAGATGTCGCAGCTCCGGAACCTACTTGGTCGCCCGCCGCTGGATGCGTTCCACACGTTTCTGATCCGTCCGGTTGAAGGGGCCCCACACAATGTTCCCGTATTCAAGGTGGGGTCGGACCAGGGCATTGAACAGCAGGGGTAATGTAGACTTATCAAACAGCTGGAACGACCTCTGTATCGTGGAGAGTATCCGCGACGCCTTGCTGACTGCCGGCTTGTTGCCGGAACTTCAATTCTGTGTCTATGAAGACTCCCAGATCCTTTTCTGCCGTCACCTGTTCCATTCGAGTGCCCTTCAGATGATAGGCTTGCTGGGAGTTCTGACGACCAATGTGTAGGACCTTGCACTTGCCAGCATTGAATTCCAGCTTCCATTCATCCGCCCAGCATGATGCAGCGTCCAGGTCTCTCTGAAGGGCTAGAGGGCCAGATGGGGCGTGAACCAAACGGTACAGCTTGCTGTCATCCGCGAATATCTTGACTCCGCAGTGTAGAACTCTCGGGAGGTCGTTGATGAAGAGCACGAACAGGAGAGGGGCCAGCACTGAGCCTTGTGGGACTCCGCTGGGTACCGGTGCCCAATGCCCATGCCGATCGGCAGCCATCTACCGTGACCCGCTGCTGGCGTTCTGAGAGAAAGGCTTCAATCCATCGAAGTAGTTTGCCTCCAATCCCATGGGATTTTACCTTCGCGATGAGCCTCCTATGTGGGACAGTGTTAAAAGCCTTAGCCAGATCCAAGTAGAGGACATCAACTGGCTGGCTCTCCTTTCTCGATCCAGCTGCTCCACTCTTCGATTGCTTGGAGCAGTTGGGCGGCGCACGACCTTCCGGGTCTGAAGCCGTGTTGAGCGTCACTGAGGAGGAGGAGGAATAAACAGAAAGAAATGAAATAAAACCAGACCCCAGTTCTCTATATACGTCCCACCGGTGCCCAGCCAACCCCCCCAATCTTCACTCAATAAACCCTGCCTCCAATCAACCTCCAAAATCCAAATATAACAATCCAAACCAATAATCAAGGGCAGCTGGCTAACCCCTCCAATTTTCACTCAATATACCCTGCCTCCGGTATATTGATATAGGGCCAATTGCTGCTGCCTCCTGCCAACCTCCTGCCTCCAATCCTCCAATCAACCTCCAAATTCGCCTCGTGACTCAGAAGTGGCTGACATCTGGTGGCCGTTTCCTGAACTACTATAGGTAGGATCCGGCGGCCGCTCCGCAGGCAGACCGGCCGGTCTAATCTCGCGAGACCTCGGATTTCGAATACTTTTTCTTTCAAAATTGGAATGCAATGCACATAATTCGACGACAAATTCCTCATAGATCACAAATAATGATTCTCATAGCCCATCATACATCCTTTCACAGTCAAAAGGGCCCTGAACAAAGCGTCCCGTGGCACTTCGTAAGCAGTATTGGTGATCACAACCAATGTTAGGGCGGTAAGGGCGGCCGATAAGGATATTGCAATCCGCCGAAAGAGCAAGGTTCCGGGCACATTGTCTGAACCCTTGCCGTAACGGTTTTCTACGTAGGTAGGTACCGCCCGATGCTTTGGAACCGCCCTGAGATCTTAAGAGCATTCATATGCCGGCATAAGACATTCACCTTTAACAGCCCGTCACAGGCCGACGTGGGGACCTCAGAAATAGGCATGGAGTTCTCGGAAACCTGCAAAAGGTCCTCATTGACTACCGTCGGAACTTAAATCTGCGATGGGCCCCAAAACGCCACCGTGGAGCCCTCAAAGACCTGTAGATTGCAGCCTTCAGAAACCAGCGTGGACGCTAGGGTGCCGATGTCGAATGATCAGGGATTGGTGCGGGCCAACGGTGAGTTCAGTGCGGGTTCGCTCAACCTTTCAAATGACCTGTTGACCAGTGGGATGGAATGGAACAGACTTACAAAACCAGCTGCTCGAACGGCGCCCCAGAAGGCGAAGGGACATGTTCATTTCACATTGCTTTTTGCTAATGATATCTGCATGTCAGGGCCAAAAGGCAGTAGCTACTAGCCTGAGCACTGAGCAGGAAATGAGGGATGTATTCGGTTCAGAAGAGGCTGATTCTGCTCCCAATGATGGGGGTTGGATATGTTATCTGTGTAATTCAAACTCAGTTCTGAGTTATCACTTCAGAGTCATAAGGCTTCAGAGGGTGGAGCCTTATGACCAGTGACACCAAAAATTTGTGACTTTTACATTCTTCCATTCAGTTATCAGTAACATATGTGAAAGATAAATGGCCCTGGCAATGAAAATAACTTTAAGGGTACCCCAGGCTTGTTGAAGGGAAGGTATGAATGAATACCCGAGGACATCAGATTGCTTCCCTCTCCCAGGTAGTATTCTCACACCATTGATCATATGATGTTGATATAGTTCAGGAAACAAATGAAATATATGTGCAAATTCAGGCCAGCTGTGAACGTATCATTGATTACAATGCCTCTAATGCCACCAATACTGCACCAACTTCTAAAGCACTGAGCAGAGGTTGTAACTAATAAAGCAGACCATTTGTCAATTCAATGCTGAGTAAGGGGGTGACTGAGGTGAGGTGCAATGAGCTAAATATGTTCTGTGCTCTGCTGGACACATGTGCAGAACACATGTAGCATATTGTGCTGCACCACACATGCCAGCAACAGACTTAATTGTAGGTCTAACCTCTTCAGCTACCTCCTTGAAACAAACAGCTATCTCAGCAGCAAGTGGGTTTTGAGGGTTGGCAGCAAGACTCCTCAGTTCCTTCCTTCCAGGGCTGCAGCCTGCTGCTGGAAGCTGTCTCAGAAACCCTAGCATAGTGGAACAGCTGCTGTTAGCAGTGGAATCGGGTTGGCAGCCATCACTTCTGACTTCCGATTTCGGTCAAATGCCACTAGTTGTAGTCTGAGTCCTGTCTTTTGTACTTGTGTGGTCATGTCATTGTCATACCATGCTATTGCTACAACATGAAAGATTGCATATGCACCTTATTGCCTGAAATATATCCATTCTAATAATGGAAACAAGATCATTTAACGAATTGCCATGCGTCTTTGTAAGCTGCTTCAGACTGAGATTAAAAGTCAAAGGTCATAGCGATTTCTGCAGCCAAATGCTGTATGATATTCACTAGCGATAGCAGGTAATTTGCTCCAAAGGTCAAAAACCCAAAACGTTACATAAAAGGGATCAAAATCGATAATAATCAGCTTCCCCCGACCCCAATTTCCACTGAAGCTCAAGGTATATAAAAACACTGAATAAAAACACTGAAGCTGACACGGTATGAAGAGACTGTTAAGCTTGAAGAGACTGTTAAGAAAAACTCAGAGTTGTTCCTGGACTCGGTAAAGACCCACGAGAAAGCTATCAAAGACCATGCTTCTCTGCTTGAGAAATCACTGAAATCTATCGAGTCACAGACATCCAAGCAGTCCCAGATGCTTGAAATGACAACCCAACAGCACAAGGTGTCGTACGCTGAGGCAGTCAAGAGCTCTTGCTCTGAGGTAGCCCAGGTAGTGAAAACCCAACTTGCTCAGCTCCCGAAACCCAGCCAACATGACGAGCGCAAAGCCGCAGTCGACCTGTCAAAGGTACTTGACACCCACCTCGACAAAGAAAGAAGGAAATCAAATCTTGTTGTTCACAACCTTCTGGAGCAAGCTGAGGGCTCCTTCCATGAGAGGTCTGAAAAGGACCTATCGCTGTTCTGTGAGATGGTAAAAAACGAGCTGAAGATAAATGTCAGGGCATCCAAGTCATTCAGGGTTGGCAAGGCAGTGCCCGGTAAACCACGGTTGCTGATAGTAACTCTGGATAACCCAGCCTGCAGGCAAGATGTACTCAGGTGTGCTCCTCAGCTGCGACACTCTGTGCAGTACCCCAACATCTACATCACCCCTGACTTGACCCAACAGGAGAGGGAGGCGAACAGGAAGCTTAGAGACGAACTGGCATCAAGACGCAGAGCAGGTGAAGCAAACCTAAGGATTAAGGGGGGTAAGATTGTCTGTCTTGGTCAGCCTGCAAACGAAAAGAGCACAGCTACAGACGAGAGCAGAAAGAATGTTGACACCCCAACCGAGGAGCCTGGCAGCAACGTCTCAAACTCTGTGCCTGCTCAAGCTGCCTCTGTCCCGCCCCAGACAACGAAGGCAGCGCCTGCTGCCCATACCAATGAAGGTCAGAGCACTTCAAGTCTGTCTGATGCAGCAGGGGAGTCTGGCGGCACCCCTCGTTCAGGCACAGCGGGCCACCCCGCCCAACCAGATAACGTGCGCCAAGGCTTTTGACTAAGTCACCCAAAACGGCACAGCATCAAGGGTCTGACAGTCCTGTACACAAATGCGGACCAGCTCACTAACAAACGGGATGACCTTTGTCTACTGATCTGCAATGACGAACCAGATATTATTCTAATCTCCGAAGTGATTCCGAAAGCCCAGAAACATCCCATAGCCCCTGCACTTCTCCACATCCCTGGATATACTATGCACCCCAGCTTCGACCTGTCCACACCCAGACTGGGTGCTAGTGGCAAGAGAGGTGTATGTATCTATACAGCTGACAGACTAAGTGTGTTTGAAGTGTCACTAAATCACTCGACAGTGGAGCATGTTTGGGTGGGCCTGCCACTCACTGGGAGCGATCGTCTTCTGTTGGGATGCGTCTACAGAAGTCCGTCTGGTGCTCCGGAAGAAAGTATGCAGCATCTCCAGGATCTGTTCCAGCAGGTATGCCTGCTGCCATTCTCCCACCTGCTCATTGTTGGAGATTTTAACTTCCCACACATTGACTGGGAATCGGAGACAGCACCAGCACAGCACATTTCACACTCTTTTCTGGACCTGATACACGACTGCCTCCTCTTCCAGCACATTAAGCACCCAACTCGATATCGATTGGGAGAGACCCCATCTGTCCTAGACCTAGTCTTTACCAATGAGGAGGGCATGGTTACAAACCTCCAGTACCAGCCTGCGCTGGGAAGTAGTGATCACCTGGTCATCCGGTTCACCCTTTCCTGTTACACAGATACTGTCACTTCGCTCCCCCAGTGTCACACTATCACTGACTACGAACAACTATCTGCTGTGTTAGGCTCCTGTGACTGGTCGGAGCTAAATAGCATGAACCTGGACGACGCATATGCAACTTTCAAGGCATGGTTGTCCGAGGCTATGGCACAGGCTTCCACAAGGAAAAAGATGCGGCCCAGGAAAAACATTTATATGGACCGCAGAGCTATGCAGCTGCGAAAGAAAAAGAAGTCACTCTGGGGTGAATATCAACGCACGCTAGACCCACTGGACCATGCCAGGTTCACACGCTGCAGGAATGAGTTAAGAAAGCTCACAAGGGATCTGCGGAAGAAGTATGAATCCAATCTGGCTGGTAAACTGAAGGAAAATCCCAAATCTTTCTGGAGATATGCCAGCACAAGACTCCGCACTAAGAACAAAATTGAAGACCTGGTCAACGAATATGGAACATTAACCTCCTGCAACCAAGAAAAGGCTGATGTTCTTGGAAAGTATTTCAGCAGCATCTTCACCCACGAAGCCAACGAACCAGTGCCCGAACTAGACCTCCGATGGGATGGACCTGTTCTCGACGACATCGACGTTACAGCGCAGATAGTGGAGGGAAAACTGACATCCCTCAGGACAAGCAGCTCACCAGGACCCGACGCCATACAACCCAGAGTCCTCCGCACTTCAGCAAGGACCCTCGCGACGCCTCTGAGCACGCTTTACAGAAAGTCTCTGGATGCTGGAACACTCCCCCCAGAATGGAAGACCGGAGAGATCACGCCGATCTTCAAGAAAGGCGATCGTCAAAACCCCTCAAGCTCCGACCTATTACTCTCACGGCCATCCCCGTCAAAGTTCTTGAGTCGATTGTCCGAGACGCCCTCCTCCAGCACATGAGCACAAACGGGCTGCTAAACAGCGCTCAGCACGGGTTCCTCCCCAAGAGATCCTGCGCCACCCAGCTGATGGAAGCGATTGAGGAATGGAGCTCTGCTCTAGAAAATGATGAAGCGATTGACATCATCT